GGTAAAAACCTATGAGGAGCACAGCCTAACTTGTGGTCTCACCTCAGGAACTCAGGAAAGAATTGATGAGTTTAGAAAACAGTTCAGAAAAATCCATGGTGCTGGGATGTGAACTTCCGAGGCGAATATGGCAGCCAGGTGGTGCTGGAGTTTCTCCTGGGGCTGCCTTTGTAGTGTGAGAAAAAACACCTGCTAACGGGGCCAGCTGCTACTGCTGGGGAGCATTGCCAATGACCGTTTTAGGTGATATTGATAGGAACAGGAAGACCTGCCTAGCCTTCTGTCCAGCCAGAGCATGTGCGGTGGACAGATTGTGCCAGCCACCTACCTGGTAAAGGCCTCATCTCCTGGGGCTGCCTTTGTAGTGTGAGAAAAAACACCTGCTAATGGGGCCAGCTGCTACTGCTGGGGAGCATTGCCGATGACCGTTTTAGGTGATATTGATGGGAACAGGAAGACCCGCCTAGCCTTCTGTCCAGCCAGAGCATGTGCGGTGGACAGATTGTGCCAGCCACCTACCTAGTAAAGGCCTCGGTCCCAAAAGTGAGGATGAAGGGGTAGATTTGAAGCCGAGAGAATGATCAGGAACCAGCCCATTCCACTTTCTGATTGCTTAGCTTCTTTTGGATATGTATTTGAAATTCCATGCAACAATGATAATGAAAAGTTTATGATCTTCCTAACATGATGTGATCGTCCTTTTCTGTTATTTAAAGAGCATGTAACAGTATCTAATATAAATGGTTGTTTTCATAAGCAAAAAGTGAATACTGAGATACCACAGCGGAAGCAGATCCACTCCTAGGGACAGGGAGCAAAGGGAAGGTTGGTGTTGATCAGCATTTAGAATCCTGGGAGGAGGATGCTAGGATGCTGGGGCTGGACCCAAGGAGGCTTCCAAAGCGGAAGCCCCCTCTATACATGATGTGATCGTCCTTTTCTGTTATTTAAAGAGCATGTAACAGTATCTAATATAAATGGTTTTTTTCATAAGCAAAAAGAGAATACTGAGATACCACAGCAGAAGCAGATCCACTCCTAGGGACAGGGAGCAAAGGGAAGGTTGGTGTTGATCAGCATTTAGAATCCTGGGAGGAGGATGCTAGGATGCTGGGACTGGACCCAAGGAGGCTTCCAAAGCAGAAGCCCCCTCTGCAGCTGGAGCAGAGACCCTGGAGAATGGGATTATGGCCTCTGACGTGGATCTCTGAGAAAGAGCAAGGCTGTTTGTTCTGAAAATGAAGGAATAGGAGCTGGAAAGTGCAA